ACTGCTAGTTCGATATTTGATTGTTTCACATCAAAATGTTCAAAAAATAAACTTGTCTAACACTATATGATATTAAAACAATTATATGGTGTCATTCAAAAAAAAATATTAAAAATATAAAAATGATGATGATGAAAAATTATAAAAAACATGTTGATCTTGATTTAAAATCTTGAAAGATTTAAATTTATAAGACGCATAAGTTTCTAAAAATTTGAATTTAAAACCTCATAAATTAGGTTCAGTCTGCTATTAAATTCATCGTATACGAATGCGGGATCTTGTGCATTGCAGCCCTTCGTTGTGCATAATACCTATATTATCGTGTAGAGGTACAAAATAACGGTTTAACCGATGGTTTTATTTTCGTCGTGCCAAGAGCTTTTTCGAGCCTTTTTTTTTTTTTTGTTCCTGCGCTTTCTTCGTTCTTATTCCGTAGACTATAATAGATCGTGCGCTATATAGGCGTGGACGACACTCGAGTGCTTAATGGACGAACAAAACAAACAAACCCGTATGGATCTTATAGTACACATTGGAGTACATTTAACATTATACACCTCCTATAGGTACAATACGTGTGTACGCATCATGTGCGAATAACGGTTTTCGAGGCGATAACGACATCACTGCGCGTTTACATTGTACATGTACGTGATGCAGCTTACGAGGATAACGTTCTCACCGGTCACGGGCGCTTAAAGGATAATATTAACAATAATAATAATAATAATAAAAGCCGAAAAGACTGGCCGGCGACGGTAACACTTTATCCCTATTTGCATTTTCTTCTCGTCACCGTGGCCACCGCCGTGCCGTAGCCGCTCGGTGACAGATTGTTTATATACTCACTGCACACACATCCTTTGCGCGTTCAAGTACCATAATTTTTTATTTTTTTTTTCCTTCTATATATACCTATAATAACAATAATAATAATATGGTCCGTGTTACTACCTCATATAAATATACGCGTCGGAGAACAATAGACGGGTGACACGCATCCCTTTCACACTCGAAAATAATAATAATAATGAAGAAGAAGAATGAAAAATGTATATTTCAAACGACGACGACGACGACTGAAGTGGTTATTCGCAAAAACACGTCTACAATATTAATGATGATCGGGTGCTTATAAAACGCATGCGTGTGTGTGTATAGGGGACGACGGTGGCAAAAGAGTTTCGAGGATCTCAGGATAGGGTCAAATCTCCTCGACTACACGTACGCGTATATATTTACGGTTAATTTGTCAATGACAAAAAAAGACGCGGTGCACCGAGGAAAAAAATTTAACAGTAGTGTATAGGAAACGAGAGACGGAGTTAGCGAACTATGTTATACTCACATGTACACAGCGAGAAGGAGAAAAAGAAGGAGCGCGGTATAATACTGTTCCTGGGGAGGGGGGTGGGATTACGCGGATGACTTTGATTAAGTTTCGGCAGCTGTCGTTCGAGAAAACCGTTTGGTCCGCTGCCAAACCGCGAGCGCGCGCGCGCGTACCCATAATACGATATATAATATTGTATTTAGTACATGATACCCGTCTACACCGTATGTACGTGTTACATATGGCGATGACAAAACCGCCGCAGTGTTTATAACACCCGACAGGAGGCGCCTCGATCAGCTCGCCGCCCTCGTTGCGCAATAATATTTTAAATATCGTCGTCCGATCCGTGGCTGGTTTTGATTATTTATTACACACCGTTGGTAAATCTGTATATTACGTTTGCGGAGTAGTGTTGTACGCGCGTTAAAACGCCGATATAACATTACAATCCGATTGCGTTCGTGAGCGAAGGTACGTCGAGACGAATGGTTTTATCGACGTTACAGATTTAGGTTACCGAGATTATGTTCTTAAAATCCGTCGGCACTCGCCGTTCTACAACATGTACTGTTTTTAAACATATAAATAAAAAACAAAACGTGAACGGACCTTGGGAACGATTTTTTTTTTTTTAGCGGCCAAGTTAGAGATAAAACGAGTCTGTTATTCGTTACGCACATACGTTCGCCGCGCGTCACACGAACCCATAATTTCTAACGTTATCATTCGATGTTTTTTTTTTCTCTCATAAACGAGCTAATTATACAACCATACACTTATTAAAACAGTAATTTTAAGCTTCGTCCTGTTCCCGGTAAGATTACCACCCGTACGTTTCTTTCCACAAACGGATCGTGTGCGGGATTAAGAGTAAACGCATTATTTTCCCATGATCCATTTTCTCGGCCGACTTGACGTACATCACCCGTACGATGTCCACGTAACGCGCATGATTTTTTCTCGTTTTCCGCGCCGTTAGGTGTTCCCTTACGCCGCACAAACACCGTCGTACAGAACGGGACGGGACGCGCTAAAGGTTAACCGACGGATTGTTCTATCCGTTCGACACGATCTCCGCGCCCGTGTCCGCCGCGCGGTATACGGGCGCGTACGGCTCGCGTGTGGCCCGCGGCTTGTGCCGGTTACGTGAAAATAAAAATAAAAACCAGTCGATTCCAATGGAAAAACGCGCCGGCGGCGAATAAATAATTGATCTACTATTGCACGCTGTGCCGTACGCGTTGCACGCGCGTGCGCGCGAGCGGTCGATAATAATAATAAAATATGCGTCTTCGGGACCACCGCGCGCTGCCGCGGCACGTATTCAGGATACGCTGAGCGCGCGCGAGAGCTAAGAGGTTAGCGGGCAACACAATAGCGGTCGGTCGTCTTGTACGTATGTAATACGTACGCGTTCGCTTCTGAATTAGGAAGCCGGCCAAATCGTGGCACGAAACCGGTCGCGGCCGGTGTCGTCTTTTTTGAAATGACGCGGTTCGATGTAATTTATACGCGCGGTACGAAAATAAATTCACTGCCCTCGCGGTAAACGATCCGCGCCGCGGTGTGGTGTACGCACGTGCCCAACGCGGAATAGGTTCTCGAGCACAGGCCGAAATATCGTACGTACACGGAAGGCCGTTCGGTCGTTTGTTTTGTTCGCGTAGTGCGCGGTACGGGAAACCGGGGAGGGATTCGCAACGTTCCGTTTTTCCGTTTTAACACTTTTCCGGTCTGCACCTCTTTGCTGTTTGTTCGATTAAGGACGTTCGTTAGCGTACGTACGTTACACCGAGCGATCCTTTCTACGCTGTTACACTTTTTGTTATATACCTATACAGGTACCAGCGATTTCGTTGTCATCCCGTCAAGGGTAGAGACTTCAAAACATTTTTTCTCGTCCACCTTAAGATATTATCGCCTTACAGCTGTTATCTCGCTAACAAACAATTTTTCCGATAGTAGGTGCACAAAAGCATCACCCTGTACACTCGTGCGAGTATTAAAATAATATTTAATCCTGTGCGTCATCCGACTGTTATTTACCGCTGTGCTGGTTCGCGCGCGCTTATGCGTATAATATGTAATAAATACACATTCGATAGCGATCAACGATGACGACCGTTTATTCAACACAATTTATTTATCTGTCCCGAGAAGTCTTCCGTTCCAGTAGCGTCTTGAGAGCACTGCCTTGGGTGGGCTGTTGCGTGTCGTTTGAACACGCCACAGAGAGACGGAGAGAGACGGAGAGAGTATATAAAATCTCCGGAGACTTCGACGACCCACGATATCGCCTACGCCCGCTGTCGCACCGGCAGCGCGCGTGCATGCGCAGATGCCGCCGTTTAGATATTCCACGGTCGCCGTACGGTCGTTTGGAGGTTATACGTTCGCGTAAAATAAAATTTAATTAACCGTCCGCCGACTGTCGGAACACATCCACCGTGTTAATACCCCCGGGGGGGGGGGGGGGGAAACATAAAAAATACCGTGTACAAGTGTCCCCGACGAAACCGAAACTCCGAGCTCGCGCCATCTCGAAAAACCGTGAACCGCTTGCAACGCGTACACGAGCTCGCGTTGTCGCGGCCGAAAGTCGTATACACGACGTCCGAGGAGACGGTACGCGTTCTCGTCGTGTTGGCGTATAGAAAACTATACGATGATATCGTAATACCGGTGTAGTAACGGCAGCGCTTTATGTCGTACATGTAAACGTGCCGCCAACGATGACTGTACGGATTTTTACGAGAACATCTCGGGCGGCGGCTGGTAGGTGCGCACAGTGTTTTGTACCTGTGCACAATCGACGACGTGTTTAAACGGAGGAAGGCTGTTGTCGGATCGCGGTAGCACTCCGAGGCGGCGGTACCTGTAAAATAATAATACCTAATTATTTCGTGACTCGGAGCAATTGCGCGCGCGCGCACCGTCGTACTACAACAATTAATAACGTTATATATTAATCGTTATATTTATACGCGCGCCATGCGAGCATCTTTGACGGAAACGCGTACGCGCGAAAGAGCACGTCGGGTCAGCTGAGTCGAGCGTATTGCGCAAGACCGTGGCGAAAATCGATTTCAAACGGAAAAACGTCGCGTTTGATGTACGCGTACTCTTACGGACGTGTACCCGAGATCACCAGTCCCTATCGCGGTCTCGATTCGAATCGGTTGCCGGAAATCGTTTATTTCATACGGTTCGGGAGGGCAACGCGGCAGGATCGGTGTCGGGGAGGCCCCGTGTGGGAAATAATGAGACTTAATGTTTTAATGCTCGCGCATACGTGATTACGCAATATCGTGCACGTGAAATTACGAGAACGATTTGTCCTCTGTTTACGCGCGAAACGTCGAAGACGATCCGCGGCGCGTAACAAGATTGTAATACTAAATTATGTGTATAATAAATATTCTATATGTATATATATATATATATATAAATTAAGTCGTTTTCGTATTATGTACCCCTTTCGTATGCATAATAACATACGCGCGTATAAAGTGTAGAACAACAATAACACATACGTGTGTTATGCTAATGCGCCATCTCGATGTATTATTATTACTAGATTTCCTTGACCGAGTCCGTTTAGCGTAAGACATTTGTATTAGTGTACCTACATTGACCAGGGAGATGCACACGTGTAGAAATGTACTCATAAACGTTGTGTTCGTTCGAGGATAATCCTCCGCCGCAGTCGGTGACGCGATTTGATACGCCTATATATTATGGTATAATACGATGTAACCTTTTAAAACTTATTCCGCTTTTTTTTTTCTTTTTGCGCAGATGAACCAACAGTGCAAAGTTTGCGGAGAGCCAGCCGCCGGTTTCCATTTCGGAGCTTTCACATGCGAAGGCTGCAAAGTGAGTACTTTTACACGTTTACCTATCGCTGCTATAAAATCGCCACGCGCGTGGCTTTTCGAAACCAACCGTTGTCCACTGAACTTTTCGCTCGGTTCGCGCGATCGGATACCTTAGGACAGGGCTTATTTTAACGTGCATCTGAACACATTTCGCGTAACTCGAAATGAAACTTCTGATTCCAAAAAACGTGCAGTTGTAAATACACCGCCTGTGAATAAAATTTAACACAATAATAAATTGTAGTCGTCGACTTTATGGCCGAGTGCAGGTAGAGGGTCCGTCAATCATCAGATTAGGTTTATTAAGACCGTGTTATTATTATTATTATTATATTTTATGGGGTTGAGTTTTGAGCCTTGCGCACTTCTAAAAAAAAACCTTAAACTAAGCCCTTTTTTAGGAAAAACGTGTGGTTTACGTCGAACAACCTTTTATCGATCAACCTCGAACCGCAAACCGAAAATATCGCGAAAAATCCGTCTGCGCACCGATCGCGCCGCTGTTCTATACCTTCATTAGTTCTGTCCTACAAACGATATCCGTACTCGTTAACACGACCGGACACAATAATAATCTACGTACGGGGATATATATACATAATTATCATTTACAAATGCGCGTTCTCCGCCGCAGCGATGGCACTCTAATAATATGTGCGCGCACACACACGCACACACATGCTCTCATCGTAATAATATAATACTACAACGCGCGCGCGCGTACGCGTGCGCGCTTATATGTAATGCGAACAAGTTTTTTACCGTCGTCACGACGACGTTATATTTTTCCGACCGGTATTGACTTTCAAAACAAAAACTAACGCTGCACTCTTCGACGGCGGTGGTTCGGCGCTTCTTCGAAATCGATACAAATATATGATAATATAATAAAAAAAAAAAAAAAAAAAAAATAAGAAAGTACGTATTAATGTATAACCTAACCGACGTATATACCTATTATACTTGACCACCGACTCCGCCGCGTACGCACGACAATAACACGGTTGCGGTATAAAGTTATAATAATTACGAAACTCTCTGTTCGCTCTTCCTCCGTCTTTCCCTTTTTTTTATTGTTTCGCATTTCCCTCGTTCGCGACGATCGTTCCCTTCTGCGGTCCACGGTCAGTCGAGATGCGCTGTTCTACCGCAATCCGCGCGCGTCTGCACGTGTGCAGGTACACAACGTAATCGTTATCATTCCGAAGCGGCTGAAAACGTCGTCGCCGTTAATGATGACTATTCGTGTTATCGAAAAATCAATACGAACGCGCGCGAGTACATCGGAATGCCGTACGAGCGCGTAAAATACTGCAGTAACCGAACTCGCTTGGGTACATTTCCACTCGCCGACGAGAAAATCGCAATTATGTTTATTATCGCGTTCGTGTTTCTTGGTTATACGTAACATGTGTACAGTAAAAACGTAATACAGGCACATCCTTTTCGACGGCGTCGGTCTAACAACGAGGGATGGGTTACAATGCAATAAATATCACCTCACGCGGAATGTGTAAGGTTTAAAATTCAAATAAAACCAATGACAACAACCGACGAGTGAAGATGTTAATAAAAATAAAAATTCACTGAGAACATTATTTTATAGATACGCTACCGTCGAAAACGGCGTGCAAAAGAACGTTACCGTGATTGGTACGCGAAATCAGAGGTACATAGACGAATTGCTATTAAGCCCGATCGTCAACATAATATTTTTGTCACAATCGCATCAGCAAAATTTCATAATTTATCCTCAATGCCCGTCACGGTATGTGTTCATTGCAGATTAATGATTTTTTTTTTTCTTTTAACTTTATCAACTCTCAATGAACCCTATAATAGTCGAATAACGTCCCGATAAAATATGCGTGCGCGCGGAAAGTTCAAAGATGGCAGGACCGGGCAAGGGGTGCGCTCGGTTGCCTTTCCCACAAAATGGACGCCCGCGAACACGTCACCGGGGGGAATGTATGAAAAAACGGAGCACAAGCGAACGCGCATCACACGTTTAGTCGCGTATAATTGTACAATAATATCTCGATAATACGATTATTTCGGTCGAGACGTTTACGCAACACCCGTCGGACGAAAATATACGTCCGTCCGTCTAATTTTCCCTCTCACCACCCTCCGCGCGACCGTCGAACACGCGCGTGTACCTATACTATATTTTAATAAACATAATACACAGAAGATGCGGCGGCGGCGGCGATCATTAGATAACGCTCACTCGGACGAGCGCATAACATAATACGCTTGTACACACATTATACGATCGAGTTAATTTCGTGACACGATTTATTCGACCAATGTAACATTATTATCACGAGTGCCGGGCCAGGGGACTTTCTATTTTTTTTTTTTTTTTTCCCGTCCATCCAGATAATAATATGCGAAGGACCGAAAAGAAGAGTAGGGTAAAAGTTATAAAAAAAAAAAAAAAATCAACAACAACAACAATAATAATAAAATGTCAACTCCGAGCGTCTTTATATATGCGCGTGCGTACGCGTATACCGGTTGTTTTCATCGGCGATGGTCCAGTTGTGGTGCGGTCAAGTCGACGCGGAATGCGGCATCTTCGCCTACATCTCGTGTGCATGTGTGTGCGCGTGTGTGTGTGTGTGTGTGTGTGTGTGTATATGAACTTATACTTATACATACATACGTGAGATAAATGTCAAACCGATTGAAAATAATAATGCGTATGAAAAAATAATAAACGAAACGAAACTCGCACGCGCTCGCATTTTATTATAACCTACCCGTATGTAATAATATATGCATCGTCCATCTGCGCAGTCTCTTGCTCTCTCTCTCTCTCTCTCTCTCCGTCTTTCTCTTTCATACCTGACCGATTCACCATTATTTATATAAATTGCTTTTACGTACAATTGGAATTATTAGCCGCAGTCGTTGTCGACTATCGTCTTGCAAATTTTCTTTGTCGCTCGCCGTTCTTCATCGACGAGAGATACTCGGAAATATCAGTGTACACCGGCAGCGCCACAATAAAACAGCCGCACCGATCTAGCGGCTTCATAGTTTTAGACGAGTAAATATTCCGTATTAGTTTGAAAACCACAAATCTACAATATTCACGATTGTAACTGTTACCTTACCGTTTCAAAATTTTAATAAAATCCGTGAAAAGAAATAAGGTTTATTATTATTATTGGTATTACCCCGCTGCGAGACGACTCGCGAACAAAACTTTCAACGAGATAAAAAATATAAGTTTTGTGCCGAAAAAAAAATGTCATTACATCTATGTTTTCGATCGGAAAATTTGTTGCACGAAACTTTCGGCTTCGATTTATGCCGCTGTTAGATTGCTAAAAGTGTTAACTGTGTATAACTGTGCAACAACGCTTTAATAAAACGTTCGCTGCGTTCTGTATAACATTTCATTACGTTTAGTTTTGACCTAAGGTTTTGGTTTTCGAAGCTTTGCGTAGCGAAACCAACGAATTTCACTACCACGTACGTGCAATAATATGCGAACTTCAATACATATTTCCGTACGATGTTCGTACATATCATAAACGGGCAAACCGCACGTAGCTGTACCGTCTCACCCGAGATAAAAAGTATTTGTTACATAACACATATATCGATTTCACAACCAGTGGGTTTGCGTATGATTTACCGTGTTCCATCTACCATTTTTATTCTTCGTTTAAATTCTTATAAATACGTCGACACAAATGTTATGGGGAACAGCTTGATAACGCAGCAGGTCGGTCTGCGCGAAAAAAAAAAAAACGGAACACTAACATTGCTGTAGATGGGATAACAATGTATTGATCGATAGACGGTGTTAATTGCATTTTTATTATGTGATACTATGACGAAATATTTTATAATACGATAAAAGATCCTGAATAATTCGAGAAAAGAAGATTAAATAATATTTTTTAAACGGTCAAATCGCGTATAATTCGTATACAACTTTTCCTTTTCGTTTCGAAGCACCGCGTTCTAAAATATGTTTACTGTTTTTAATAATCCACAGACGTCATTGTTCAAAGTGACGTGAGAACGAGTAATAGTATTTATCCAGAAAAATAACAATACCATTATTCTAACAATTACATTGATCATTTAAAAATCGCAATTCGAACCACGAAATAATGATAATCATTATATGCCCCAATCACAAATTAAACGGTTCGAATTCCAAATCGGAACCTCTCATTTATCTTTTCAGATCGCGTGTGAACCTGGTACCGGTGCGCGCGTTAAAGTCACCGAGCGAATCAATTCGTAGGTTATGGCTGTTCTAAGCTCGTGTTCAGTCGCCAATCCTTATTCGGCCGTAACAACACTTCAAACCGCTCGAACGCCGCTCCACCACGGTATGGGGCGAGGCACCCTCGTCAGCACCCGAATAACGCGCACGCTCGTTTCCGTCGATTTTCGTAATCTCGTGTTCTTTTCGTCGGCAACCGTTCGATCGATGTACGTGTTATACATGCACTGCATGTCCGGTCATCGATCCACGAGTGGTGAACATCGATACGTACACGCGCGCGCAGTGTTCATTCGTTGGAGATCGCGATACGCGAAGATTTATGATTTATTCTGCGATTCGAACACACCAACGGAGAGACCCGTAGTTCGTATATGACTCATTAGTCGGTAGATGTCTATCGCGGGGCCGGCCGGTTCCAGTCTCCACGCGTGCGTTCACAACATCGTTTTGGCGCACGAAGACACTTGCATACACACAATATCGACCGTGTGATCTATCGTTTTTAATAACGTTGGCCGTCGGTCGAAACAACAATAATATTACAATATTGTTATCCACGCGACGCGCGCATATGTGCGCCCGAGTGTACGTGGTCGTGGGAATAATGTCAGCAACGTATCCGTCGTGGACCCGGACTCGTACCTATAGCTCGGAGCCACAGCGTACACACGCCCCGATCGCGAGCGTGCATTACACATATTATATGTTATTATTACTTTCCGGTCGAAACGCGTACGAATATACCTACACGACGTTCGTATTACACATAATAATGCGCATTGTACACGGCGCGGTACATTCATTCATACATCCATGTGTTGTTGGGTATCGTGTGCCCGCGCGCGTGTTCTCCGCTATCGCGATTCAGCGAAAACCACGACGTCCGACTTGACTAATGGCGTTGACACATCTGTTCCCATGGAGTCGGTACATAGGAAATATTTGGCTAAATTAAACGCGAAAAAAGTTACTAGGTACAGCGCATGTCACGCGGACGACATACCTTTGACAAGAAATATTGACCATCATTGCACTGTACGGACAATCGGTAATCGTTGCGAAACAAAAAAAAAAAAAATAACACTTTTTTACGTAATGATTTATTCTTAATTATATTGTACACTAGAGATATGGTTGAAGTTATGAACGTATTGTATTTCGGTTCTAATATCGATTGTAAAAATAATAATTAACAGTCATAAAACATCGGATCGAACTGTTGTTACCGTATATTCTATAACGCTACGTGTGATAATCGCTGTGGACGGAATTGGTTACGTAAACGAATGCATTTATTTGTTGTTGAAAACTTCACTGTTTGCGTCGGTTGAATATTAATCATCGAATATACGTAAAGCGCTCTCGTTATATCCATCGCTGAGAAAACTTGTTTTTAACACACGGTCTCAATACCGGACATCTCGAAACGTTCGATCATCTTTAGGGCAATTGTTTTTATTGGGTTTTTATCGCCCGTAGTCGCTGAACGAGCGTTATCGAAACCGTAACTCGTTGTTAATAATATTCCGTTTTGTGTGTTTCAGTCGTTTTTCGGACGGACTTACAACAACCTGAGCTCGATATCCGAATGCAAGAACAACGGCGAGTGTGTGATCAACAAAAAGAACCGGACGTCGTGCAAAGCGTGCCGGCTGCGCAAATGCTTGCTGGTGGGCATGTCTAAGAGCGGGTCCAGGTACGGACGGCGGTCCAACTGGTTCAAGATCCACTGTCTGCTGCAAGACCAGAACGCCGCGGCCGCGGCCGCGGCCGTCGGGCACCACCCGCAGCAGCAACAGCAACACCATAACGGCAGCAGCCGGTCGTCGCCGCACCACCAGCAGCAGCACCACCATCAGCCGCCTCCACCTTCGCTAGCCGCGTTCGGCAGCGGCTCGCCCCTGTACCCCGCCGGCCTGGTGCACCCCGGCCACCATTTCCTGACCACCGACAAGTTCCTGCAGGCCCGGCTCAACGGTTACGGGGCCGCCGCGGCCCTGATGACGGCCGCGGTCCAGGACGACGCGTCCTGCCGGCGACGCGCCGCCGACGCCATGATCGGCGCGCACCATCACCCCCGGAACAACCGTCACCACAGCCAACACCACAATCACCAACAACACCACCACCACAACAACAACAACAACAACAACATCAACAACAACGGACCGGACCACCGGCGGCATCGCCGTTACGACGAAGAAGACGACGATGATTGCGGCGGCGTCGGTGAAATGGACGATGACGACGACGACAACAACAACGGGGACGAGCGCGACCGCTCGCCCAAGGGCGGACGCCGGCGCCGACGGCGCTTGTCCGCTTCCGACGACTCGGGCGGCTCGTCCATGCCCGACGACGAGGACAACAGCGGCCGTCATCGCAACAAGATGGCCAGCCCCGTGCTCCGGCACCACAGCCCGCCGTACACCGCGGGCGGCACCAGGTTGTCCTCATCGCCGGCGTCGTCCATCGGCTCGGCGGACGCCAAGCGCGTCCGGCTATCGGCCAGCCCGTCGTCGGCCACCGTTGGCTCGTCGCCGCCCATCTCCGGTTTCCACTCGCCCTACTACCCGCTGTCCGTCACCCGGCCTGGCCTCACCCCGTTCGGCGGCGGCGGTCCCGGCCTCGCGCTCACCATGGCCGCCGCCGGTTGGCACGCGGCCGTCACGGCCGGCCGCACGGCCGCTGGTGGAGATCTGCTGCTGTCCAGTCCGGCGCCCGGCGGCATAGCCGTCGAACAGGAGTATCCCATCGACCTGTCGCTGAAGACCACCGCGGCCAAGTTCAACCGATCGCCACCGCCCGCCGCGCCACAGTCGGCCGGTGGCCGGCATTCCGCCAGCTCGGACGATCACGAGTCCGCGGCCACGGCCACCGCGCTGCCGCCCTCGCCGCTGGACCTGACCAAGCGGACGGTCGAAGTGTCGTTCGACTGACCACCGTCGCGTGGAACTATAATATTGTCTAGTACGTGGTATTACGCACGTAACGGTCAAGCGGTGTCTTAGGTATTTTTTTTTTTTTTTTTTTGACTTCGTCCTAGTCATTGTAGAAAAAAATGAAAAAAAAAAAAAACAATCGAAACTACCCAGTTCTTCTACCCTAACCGCGGTACGGATCGGCACCGAATTTCGCAACATTTCCAGCCTCGTTTCGCTCATCACTCGGAAGCGGACGGGCATCGGAACGAAATCTGAAATAGTGGACCCGCGAACGAAATCGCGACCGCAACAGCTCGGTGGGCACGTCGGTGGAAACAATAGGAGTTTGTCACACACGGACTTACGTGCGGGGTAACAATGCCGGTGGGCGGTTGTGTTCGCGGACGACGACGCGCACACCGCAGTCCGGGGGCCCACACCTGTAATTTATTACCCGTATTTTTCGTATTGCAAAGCTATTACATATATTCTACGGTCATCAACAACGCAGTAATTTATTTCGTTTTAATTTTTTATTCATTTTTTTCGATAACGAACATTAACGGCATACGTTATATTTTATGAAAATTGTCATTATTTTTTTTTCTTTTTTTTTAGATTATTATAACTTGTATTATTATTATTATAATTATTTTAATTTCCATTATTATTATTATTATTATTATTATCATTAGGCGTATTTGTAATATATTTGTAATATATTATCACATTGTGCACACGACCGTTGATGTACGTGGATGTATAAATATCGATTTAAGTGAACGCGTTTTGTTTTTGTTTTTTTTTTTTTATTTATTTGTATAACTTCGTATCGTAAACAACACTAAACTGCAATACGCGATACGATTAACCCGATTGCGATGCGAACCGGATCCGCTGCAGTAGACGCGGACGAACACAAACAGCCCCGATCGCACTGTTATCGATCATCATAATTACTATTATATTTGCGACAATATTGCATATTGCGTATTGCGCCGTCACCGGAATGCCGTGCGTTCGTGGTGTAAATATACCAATATTGTGTTGTTATTATCATAATTATTATCATAATTATTATTATTATTATTATTATTATTATTATTATTATTATTAATTTTTATTTCTTTCCAATCTTAAAATAGTACGAGGGATTCGGCCAGTAATAGGGATATGTACATATAATAACAATTATACGGTATTTCATTTGTACAGCGCAACTACAATTGTATCCGTATCGTTCTCATGAAGTGTTAAAATAATAATCCGGGTGTATGTTGTCGTGGAATACGTATTGTATTGTTCGTGTTAATTTTATTTCACTTGATTTCATTGTCCTTTCCACCCCCCACCCCCACCCCCACCCCGCCACCCGTTATCTATATTGTGTACGTGTAAAAATGAACTGTATAAATTAGTCGATTTAAGGAACTGTTATAGAAACGAATGAAAATAAATAAAAAAAAAAAATTATTCATTAAAAAACGAACAGTGTTGCACGTGGTTACCCATACGCCTTTTCCTGTACAATAAAAACGTTACGTTTCTGTTTCCCGTGCCGTACGTCGACAGTTCTTGTGCGGAACAAAAAAACGCCGCGGTACCGTAGCCTCGTTCCGATTCGGTCGGGCGCGCAACTTGAGCAACTGTACCGCCCGCTGCCTCTCCGACCGCGTCGCGTGTGCCGCGGCGCGATTTCGCCGCCAAGCGATACGCGACGCGCGTTTCGCTGGCGCGTACGCGGCGTAAGATTTTCGAGCGGCGAACGCGCACGGCGACCGTTGAAACAGCGTTGACGTGCGTTTATCGATACGTCCACGAACCTGGAACGCGAACATCTCGCGACAGGATCGTGCACGCGTTGTAAGATCGCGTTCACGACTTTCGAGCGTTTTGCTCGGCGTCGATCGCGCGTCGGCCTACGGATACGGCGCGTGCGCGATCGAAACGCGCGTCCGGCGCTCGCGATGCGTGCGTACCAGCCCCGACGGACGGCGCGTCCTCGTTGCGTCGTGTCCGCCCGTCGAAACCGGTGCGGGTGGCAAGAGTCGCGTGCGTGCGCTTTTCCTCGTACGCCCGTGGGGCAGAGAGGGCTAGATCCCGGGGCCCGTCGCCTTTTGTACGGTATTGTATATTGTACTGAAGTACGTACAAGTAGTACGCGTGTCTCGCGCGGACAAGTGCAAGTAAAGAGGGCCTGGAACAGATTAGCCCCGGCGCTCTCAAAATTTTCCGCCTGCCCTGGTGGGACCTGTGTGATCGGCGCGATTACCGCACGGCAGTGTCGCCGGTAACGTGTTCCAATCGCCGCATCGTTTTTCAACACTTACGAAGTAGTACCATCTTGACGATGTCATCCAGGGGTGTTTTTTTCTTGCCAACGGCTGGGGTTGAAGGAAGCAAAAGATCCCGGGGACGTTTAACCGGGGGTGAACACACAGTTGGGAAACACGTGTTCGCGTTGGCGTTGTAAAACGAATACGTCAACGCGGATAGAGTAGGTTGCGGAGTAGATGCGAAGGTGGTGCGTGTGGAAAATAGAAAAGGAAGTCGGAGCTAAAGAACAGCGGTAAGTTATTCTAGGGGAAAGCCGATAGTTGCGTTTTGTTCACGTTCACGGTATACACGTTATCGTATGCGATATTTGCGTATAACACGCAACCTATATTGTTGTTTTACGTCGCGGTAGAGTCGTGGTAAACGCAACGGAATACGAATATTTAGTATCTCGACTGCAGCGTGCAGCATCGTCGCCGAAATGAATAGCGACCAGAGTTTAGTGGCATTGAAAAGCCCAGAAATATGCACTGTATTATCATCAAATACACCTTAAAATATGCCCTAAAATTATCAAAAATTGCGACGAAAAATAAAAAGAAAGAAATCCCTGGCAGGTTTTCAATACGGATCATCGTTTCAAATCTCGACTGTGCTGCAACGTCTTCCCGTATAGCTTACCGGTGCCGATAGGCTGCGCCGTGCCACAGTTATCCGTCGAAAATCTGCTCCGTAAAACACGCCGTTCATCGACAACGATCCGTTGGTCAGAAAATTCTTGAAAAGGGTTACACAGTGTCTGTTTTTCGTCCCGAAAACTCACGTTTCCGTCCACACACGCAAGTTGATGACGAACAGAAGCAGATTTTCGTTTCCGAAACCTTGTTTCGCCACGCTTCCGAATGCTCCGAAAATCAACGTACACGTTGCAAACGTTCGGTTGTACATAGATTATTCAAATATGGCCATTAACTAGTTATGAAGTTAAGTTAAAAGTAAACTTTTTGACTTAATTAGTTAGTTTATTTTCTAATAAACTTTGTAACTCAATTAGTTCAATTGGCAATTGAAATAATTTAGCTTTTCACAGCCGATTTAATAATTATCTAAAAAGTTAAAAAACGTTGAAATTTCTCGTTTATACGTAAGTGTTAATATGAAAATGAAATAGTAATGTAAAGCAAAAGTGTCGCATGCGCTGTACGTCAGATGTCACATTAGATTTTCTAATGATCGGACATTGAGTTCTGGCCGTCGACACGGAACTTTGTATGAAATGAATTTTCACTATAAAGACAAATAAATACGGTAATGAGCGGCTCCTCGATGTACAATGTCATATAGTTATCCGTCGAACGCTTCGGCACCACTGCTGCATATCGCGATAAAAAAAAAAAATGCAAAAAAAACCGTTTGTTATAACTTGGGAAACGAGATGTTTCCAAAGAACTCGGTCACTTTTCATGCGATTTATTATATACTATTTGAAAAACGTAGATAGCAACTTTTCTTCAAACCGGGTTGAGTTGATTTTTTTTTTTTCACATGTTAACTTTTAACGTATCGATGATCTTGTGTTCCGTCAACTCGAGTTGATCATTTTCGTTGCCCGCCTTTGAGATACACGTTACGACGTTGCGCGTATCCAATGCGAATCGGCGGGGTATTACGTACGAACGTTCGCGAGCGCACGCGAGAAACGCGACCATAGCACCGCGCCATTATTACCTCGTATTTTTGTTGTTATCACCGCCGACCTTGCCGGTAAACAGTGCACGACGACGGCTGCCTGAGGTCGTTCGACGAGCCATCCTCAACGGTACGCGCTGCCGTGAATGCATCTATGTTCGCGAACGGAACGCCGGCGATCATCTTCCCCGGGATCGAAACGAGTCCTTAAAAATGTCGTTCGACCGGCAAACGCAATACGATCACCGGGAAACCACGATCGCGCCATCGTTCCACGTTGTCGGTGTTTCATATCCGTTGCGTTAATCGTGCGACGATGAGGCGTTGTCATAAAAAGCAGGTATGGAAAACGTTTTTTAAAACGTTTTTAATGAACTTTATTAAACGGAAAAAAATGAAAAACGAAAACGGAAAAAAACAAAAAACGAAAACAATTAATAAAACGAAAACGAAACAAAACAAAAAACGAAAACAAAAACGTAAAAAGGAAATAAATTATGGTATTATACATTTTTTAATTATTTATAGAACGAAAAAAAAAAGTAAGTATCTGTAAGACTTAAGTCTATACTTTTTGATTTTTAATTTTTACCAATGCACTTTTAAAATTTAAAAATATTTAAATTTTCTGAATTTTATATAAATTATAATTTTGATTTAAAATTTAAATATTAAGGATAATTAATTTGAATTTTAACTTTTAAGTGCATTTCTATATTGCGCGTTACTCTTATAAGTTATAAGAATATATTTTATACATATATAAAAAAACAATTATCAAAAACGTTATTTGGGAACAATAATAAAATAACGTTTTTAAAAACGTTAATCAAAAACGTAATAATCTAAAACGCTTAAAAACATTAAACAAAAACGATATTTTTTAAATCAATTAACAAAAACGAAAACGAAAAAATTAAAAACGTTTTCCATCTCTGATAAAAAGTGTTGAGAACATCCATGATGGTGGGTCGATTATCATTGAAGGTTTAAAATTGCCGGAAGTTGCGGAAAATCCATAATACGAAACGGCAACGTTGTATGCGGAAAGGGCAGTATCTTATTTTTCGGGTAGCGTCCCTCCGGGCTGTACTCGAAATCGTAAACGTTATTTTCATTTCGTCTTTGACAATCTGCGATGTTAATCCACACCACGGGCAACACTAAACCTGAGAAAATCTATTTGTT